TCTGAAAAAATGAAATATTAAGATTATTATGTTGGTATGAGATTTTTCAAAATCTCAAAAAGCTATTCAAATCATTTTAAAAACAAAAAAATACCATTCATCATAAACTTACAATCATTTTTAATATTGATGTTGTTAAATTTCATCTTGATATTTTCAAAACAATAAAAAATGATCATATATTGAAAACTTATTCTTGATTAAGCGCCAAATTATTTTCAAAATTTCTCAAAAGATTTTAATCTCCTCCTACTATCTGTCAAATTTATTAATTTTTTTTTAAATATATTTTTTCTTAATTTAAATTTTTTGCAATTAAATTACGTTAAAAATTAAAAATTACGTTATTTTTTTTATAAATCATTTTTAATAAATATTTAATAACTATTTTAATCTACAAATTTTTCGTCTTTTTACCAAATTCATGTTAATTAATGTAAATTTAAAATTTATCTTGCAGTCACAACCTTTTGTGAGTGAAAAATATTTATTTTTTATTTATTTTTTATTTTTGACACTTATTTTTATTTATGCTTGGTTTAAGTATGTTGATCAATTTGGCTATTTTTATTTCAAAATTATTACTTACTATTAGCACTTAAAAAAAATTATCTGCATTTTAAAAGCTTAATCTGTATCGTTTTAGCATTCAATATTTTTAGCTTTAAATCTATAATGTTTTTATTTTTCATTTTTTATAATTAATTCATGTCTTTTTATATTCATAGTACATGATCTTATATCAATATTTTTTTTACTTTTCTATTAGTTATTGTGTCATTGTTTTACATCAATTTGTATCAATACATGTATCATCAATTTTGCAACATGATTTTGTATCATTTGAAAATATGTGGTGTTATCTTCAACACTATTCACTTCATGTGGCTAAACTCTTGAAGAACGTTTTTTGTGTATTAAGTGGGTAGTTTAGAGGGTTACATTATGTCAACATCCATCCATCTTTGCTGTTTATTTTGAATAATTATTGAATTCACAAAAATAAATAGTTTTGTCAACCTTTTCTTGTTTAAGAAACAATACTCTTATAGTTTTTAATTGCTAGTTGTTAATCTTCTTGCAAGTCTCCACAAGTTTATTCATGATGTATATAGAAAAGTACAGAAAAACATGTAACTTACAAAAAGATGTGTGGTTCATTTCAATTAGTTTACATTTACTAAAACACAAATTTGTAATTTATATTCATAGATTTTTTCTGTCTTAAAACTAACTATGTATAAGGTGGCTAGAAATAATCAAAATCTATGCAATCTTGTACCATATCTCTTAATTAATATCTTGGAAGTGTAATCTTTATAATCTATATAATTATCTTGCAGAAAGCTCAAGATTTAAGTCATAAACAACATTGAAATCAAACCATAGCCAAAACATGATAAAATAATATCAAACAAAGAGATAATATAAATGCTAATTTACTCTATATGTTGTTGCATGCAAAACTTGCAATATGAGACAATGTCTTGAACTAATTTCTAAACATATCACCTTGATGAAGTCATCAGCATGATAAATTTATTGTAAATTTTGATAGCCTCAATCATTTTATCATATAAAGCCTCTCCAAAATAATGAAAGCTTATGCTAATATCTTTTTATTATACTGTTCATCATTTATTTCATAGCAAGACGTAAATTATTTAGACTTTCACAATGAATACTCACAATATTAGGTGGTATTTACATCTGAAAGAAATACCAATCTGATCAAATTGATCTTTTTCTTATTTTTTTTGCTGGTTGCGCTCAATTTTTGTAATGTGTTGTTCCACGCAATTCTATATTGTACATTTTCAACTTATGCAATCACCTTAGAGTGTAAACAAATATCTAACTGTAGAATTATGCCAATCTATATCTTGTAAGCAGATGATCAGATATAGCCCATCAATACTTTAACATTGTACAATCACATCAAACACAAGATCAAATTTCAGCCTATTCTTGAAATTTATGAAAATTTTCTCCATAGCTCCTCAATGTAGTTATCAGGAAGTTGAAATTTACCTTGTAGTCTAGTATACAGCAAAGAAAATGTCAGACCTAGTGTAAATGGTTAGTAATCAACTCAAGTCTTGTCAACTCAAGTTAGTGTTACTAAAGTTAATATGATTGAGTTCAATCTGTCGCTCCATATATAATTGGTAGTAGTTTCAGTAACATATATTTAAAAGTTTTGAGTAAAATATCTGTGAACCCGTAAACGTATACTCTCCCTAGAGCTGAACCACAGTAAATCATATGTTGACTTTTGATTGTTCTGTATGTGTGTGGAGGTTGAGTTCAAGATTTAGCGTTATCATTGTTATCAAATCAAAAGTGAATTATGGAAAGCAAGTAATGGAAGAAGAGGAAGCAAGAGCAAATAAAAACATAAAGCTTGTAGCATGATTCAGCAGACTTTGAGTATTTAGTCAATTCTTAATATAATAAACAAATTGTGTTAGTGTTCCGCTAAAATTGCAGCTGTATCTTTCATGATCATAGTGATGAATAATAGATAAATGTAGTCGTAAGGACCGACATGAGTATTGCATTTGTGATTCGTTCAATTTTGAAAAGTGTTGGAATAATGAGAAAAACACATGTGGACTAGAGACAGATACTGGATCCCAAGAGATAATTCACAAAAATACCTTAGAAATCAATTCTAGAGCCAAGCGAAGAAATATCATAGAACACATCAATGTAGACGAGACATTGCTTGAAAAAGAGATGAAAATTTGCGTGACAACTATGATCTCTTAGTTGCCAACAGAGAAAGAGCATAGGTATGGATGCAAGTGCTCGCTGTTCATCTTGCGAAATTCTTTTGTGCACATATCACAATCACAAGAACTCATATAGTACGACGAACATTTTAGATTATTGTAAGATTTGGAGTTGACATAAATATGATCGTGAATAAAGATAAAGCATGCTGATTTCGTGGTGCTTATACGGCAAACTATTCCAGTTCACAGCTCACAGCATCATGAATCTCGCCACCAGAAACAGGTCATCTACCGTTGCTGCACACTTGCACCATGTTGCCACTAACGCCGAGGATCAGCGATCACATACTTCACAAAGTCACTCCTTGCACAGCCAGGTGGCAGTGTCCCAAACTGTGTTCCGTGGAAGAAATTTCCCTTTCCTGATTTCAAAGTTAGCACATGTAATAATTTATGGATTTCCACTACTGCAGCCTAGAGATCAATCCCTTGTTCATAGAAACAAAATTTAATCACTTATTCTGTTACTCCTCATTCTGACCCTCTCTCTCTCAAACTCTGCACCATCCTTAACTCTGCATCATCCTTAACGTAACATTGCTGTATCTCTCCAATCACAAGCAAAACATTTGATCAATGAGATCTGGATGAGACACAAGAGCCTGCCGCTTGAATGCACGTCGACTGTTGCGAAGGCCAGGTAAGGGAACGACCATGTCGTTCCCTCACCTCACCCTCCGACCACAGTCAGTGTTGAATGTGTTCGGAGCATGCAGACATCCGAGATTTGACAACACAATTAAGCAGTGGGTCTGGCTTAACTTGATTAAGGTTGACTCGGAGGATTTGGTATGCAGTTTTCTGGACTATGTATAATTTTGAATGATGTGCCGGTATCGAATCAAGTAATCATACCCTTCTCTGTTAACTCTACCACCATGACTCTCGTCTCAGAGCTTGGAAGACAGGACTACTATTTACAACAGCGTAAACGACGTGTATACCACACACGTCGTAAAGAGCCCTGATAGAGAAAATTTCAGTGCTGCAATCAAACCATGCTTTATGAAATATTCTGCATGATGAATGTTTACTCAATATACGACGGAATTGCAACGAGAATCACAATCCCCATGATATTCAGAATACGTGCTCCTGCATCCTTTGAAAATTTTATTCTCGAAAATTGATGCAAGAGACCTTGTAACTGAACGTCCACGTAGTCCGACTGCAAAAGCATTCGTGCTACGAAACTAACATATGTATTTGTATACGTGACAATTCTGAGAGTGCTGGCGCTTTACATTGTGCTGAGATTGCGGCCAGCACAACGCATGTCATCGGGGTGTATCGCAGAGAAACATCAGCTAGTCAACATGGACCTGACGCATAGCTTACTAGAACTGCAATGCTGGGAAGTGGATGATTTTTTTTGCTTGTTCAACAGGTTCAAGGAGGGCCTCGATTACCTTCATACAGAAGATTGAAGATGGGAGGGATCGAAAATAAGAATAAGAACAAGAATCGAAGCATGACGGATGGAACGTTGTATGGATACACAGTCAGACGAAGAAGAGCAGGTGTAGATTAGAACATGATCGCTTGTGTTTGTGTTTACATCTTCGTTCACAAGTTTGGGACGTCCCAACTGATGGATGTGGTAAAGTCCACCAGGTCGTCACGTGTCAGTAATTATTGCAATCTATGCTTCCTTTTTCAGTATCGCTACAGCCTCTGTCCGTTGCCTTGGCAGGGCTTACAAGTTTGGCCTCTAGCATTTCATTGACTCCGTTCTGAAGCGTGACAACGCAGTCTACGGGCCTCGCATGTACACTGAGGGCCCGACCCTCAATCCTCATGGGAAGATTTCGGTTGACTGTTGAGAACCACGAACTGCTCTCAGCCTTGCGTCCCGCTTGCCTGGCGTTTGAAGTGCATGCTGTTCATTATGCTTCCTCGTCGTAACTGCGATGGCTGCCCAGCTGTGTCTACTTCACTGCACAGTCTCATACTTAGACATCGTGTATTTCCAGTTGAAGATTGTGACCCTATGATTCAGTAGATTCTGAACATTAGCTCACTGTGATTATTAATGCCACCTCTTGAGATGGTTCTGGGGATGGTAAACTGTCCCTGGGGACATGCGTTCCATCGAGCCTTCTCGTTGCCTGTTGTATCCCGGCCAGTTCCGGAGAAAACAGTAGAACCGACACATGCGGTTCTGTGTTTCACATTGGGATTGGGCTCGTGCTCGTCGAGCGCGGACACCACATTTGTCCAAGAGCTGTTCAGCAGAATCATGTAGCCAACCATCGTAGACGGCCTTCTCTTCTCTTCTTCCACCTCTGAAGAACGCAGTCTGTGTTTTTGGGAAGATTAGAACCATGCGGCTCCCTGGATTTCTTTCTCTTTCCGATGACACGTTCAGACCTTTAGTCAGTTCGTGTAATTGAATCTCAACTATGATTTGTATTACGTCGGATCCATGTTCTTAATCACATATTTCAGCCATCTCTCTTCAGGGAATGTTCGATTTCGGCCATAAAAGAGCCATATAGTGCTTATTGCTCGTCAAAAGTGTCCGGTGAGAGCAGGCCCAGCTCATTGTCAAAATGGCGGACGCTGTGGTTATTATGAGCCTAGGCGTAGTCGGAAAAGCAGTGAAAAAACTAATCCTAGCGTTGCTGGATGTAAGAGAATCCAAGCAGCACAGCAAGATCATTTGCAAGGAGATCGACTTGTTTGTGGAAACGTTGAACGAGAACATCAAGATCCTGGAAGTGAACCTGCCCGCCAGCGTGAGCAGACGAGCATTAGGTGCGTTGTCGTTGTCATTCTGTTTTCGGTTCCGTCTCTTGAGATCCAATGGCGGTCCCAGTCATCGGTCATGTTTTGGAGTCATGGCCACGCCTGCGACCCCGACGAACATGGGACTGGTTAAGGAAATGGGAACATGAATAGGCAACATTTTCTTACAGAGTTCAGTTGCCAATCGAGAGGCGATCGAGTGCCTGGGCTTGAACTCGTCGTGGCGCATCATACGAAGGAAGGGGCGGCGTGACGAAGCCTTGGATCAGGAATTGTCGGACAAGATGGCAGATTTGAGCTTTGAACATATCTCCTCCAATTGCATCGGCAAATTTATCGCAGATTGAAGTTTTCCCGCCCGATCAGCCACACCAAACTTCTGGCTGTCAAGCTGCAGAGACATGAAAGCATAGATTCTAATATCAAGTTCCAGTGTTTCAGGAAAAAAATGTTTTGTTTGCACTGACCTCTGCTTTTGTGCTGCTAACAGAGTCTCTAGTGACGAAGCTGGGAGACGCGACTGCGTTTGTGCAGTCCCGCCAACGTCAGGGCTTTTTCAAAACCCTTTGGAATGCACACGAGACTAAGCAGGAGTTGGAGATGCTACGTCGGAATCTCGACTCTTCATTTCAAATGGCTCTTTTCATCACCACTCTGGATGTGAGGTTCAGTCACACTCCTGCAACATATTACTTCAGTTTCTTCATTGTTGCTATGGATCTTACCAAATTTCGCAGTCACGCTAGCTTAATATGTGTTATATACCTCGTGAAGCAGCATGGTCATAAGTAGGAATTGTTCTTCCACGCTCAACTTCGATCAAGTAGGCAGATAACATCCGAAAGACACTCAGCTTCATAAACCCCAGAGTTTTAAAAAACGCGTTCTAAGGTTAACCCCTGCTTTTTAGCGCTGAAGATCAAAGTTGATATTCCAGTTGCACTAATCCCCAACAAAACTCCATTACCTGAGTCTTTTGGGATCGTAAATCTTCTGGTATTATAAAAGAAAGTGGATGTTATGGCTTTTATACAAGTCTCTTGGTTTGGCTTTCATCGGGGTGAATTGCATTGAAGGCTGTAGATCTTGACTATCAGCATCTGAAGAAGCCGTCAGGAGAGTGCTGATCGACTAGAGTAGAAAGGGTATGTTCCAAATTTGGCTCCTCATCCCTGAATCTGCAATTCGACATGTCATACTAGGTTGCTGTGGACGGGCATAATAAAATTGAAGACTTTCAGATGAAGATGCTGGAAATTCACTCAACTCATGCATCGAGTTTGGAAACTGCAAGGAGTGAGATCCGAGATATACTCGTACTCCTTCTAGGAGTACCGAAAAAAGAAAAGTTGCAGTCATTAATCTCTGTAGTTCAAAATATGCTTCAAACTGTGGACACGGAGAAGTTCTTCGCCGATGTAAGTGTCGAACTGGTCATCACCAACACATTTACTTTAAAGCTCTTCAAGCTTCAAGCTCTGCAACGCGTCTAGTTCTGAAAATATGTCCATGCCCTGCAGGTTCTAGCCAACCTCGATCCAGTTGTACCTATGGAGGATGATGAGCAGTCTACTGTTATAAATGCAGATGATGACGAAGATATCAACGATCCCATCACTTGGGAGCTGATGTGCGACCCAGTTAAAGGAACAGATGGCCGCACTTACGATCGCTGGACCATCATTAACAACTATTTAACTAGGAGTCCCTTTGATCAGAGCAAGCCTTTCCGAATAGAGTGTGATGACATCAATGTCCGTGGACGTCTATTCAGAAAGTATCCCAAGGCAGAAGATAAGTTTCTTGAACGTCGTCACGATTACAGGAAAAAGGCTATGAAGCTAGCTAGAGGAGGCCACGATGCCGAGGCTCTGGTGATGTTAGAGAACGTTCTCAAGTGGGCCGATGACGATTCCGAGTGTTTAGATCTCCGAGATTTGATCTTGAAAAGCAAATCCCAGCAGGACTTTGCAACTGGAATTAATACTACAAGCTCGAGAGATATTCCACCTAGAAGCAACCCAGGACAAGGTATGCACAACTGCTACTCGCGACCCAAAACTTTGGAAAAATGTTGTCAATCTTTTGTTGTCAATGCCAGGGTGTAGCCCAACTTGCGTGAGCTCTAGAAGCATTGTTCCTTCAACAACCAAACATGGATAGCAAGAATGATGAGAGGAGACAATGCAAAACGAAGGACTTAGTTCAGGGCACTTTCACCTTTTTCTTGTTCTGTACAGTTGTCAAGAACACGTTCAAGTTAAATGCGCAGTACGTAGAAATTATAAGAAAGGACCAATTGATTCAATTTTCTCAGTTTCCCCTTAGCCAGCGTTGCGATAGAATATATAGACATCAAGGTACTTGCAAGATGCAGTGGATGGAATTGGACCTGCTGTGATTAAAGCAAATTGTGCTCATTCTGCAGAGGAGAAATCAAGGGCCATGATAGCTATACACGAGTTGAAGAGCATCATATGCCTCTTGTCCAAAGAAACAGCCGATAGTCCCTTGAGAGAAGCAGCAAGGAACTTTGCAAATTTGGCCCGGGATTCCGAGAACAAGGTTAATATGGCTATGTATCCCGGAGCACTGGAGAGTTTGGTAGGATTGTTGACCTTGGACGTACCCGAGAGTGCTCTATACGAGGTCAGCAGAGGATTCGCGAACCTCTCCTCTGCCAGGGAGAATCAGGAGAAGATGGCAAAAGTTCCACAGTGCTTGGAGAGGCTAGTACAGTTGATGCACAAGGAAGTACCGAGGAGTATCCAACGCGAAGCTGCCAGAGCTTTCGCCAACTTGGCCTCGGCGAAAGAGAACAGGTTGAAGATGGGAGCGGTTCCAGGGATCTTGGAAACGTTGGTAGATCTGTTTACTGAAGATGTAGGGGAGAGGGTTCAGAGGTCAGCTACTCGAGCCTTTGCCAATCTTGCGACTGCGGAGGAAAATATTCTGAAATTGGCAGCAGTTCCAAAAGCTCTAGAAAAGGTCGTGGATTTGCTGTGTAAAGAGGTGCCCGTCGCGGTTCAGTTTGAAGCTGCGAAAGCTGTTGCGAACATAGCCCGTGCCGAAGAATGTAGTGCTAAGCTCGCAGACTTTCCAGGAGTTCTGCTGGAGAGACTGGTTGGCCTGATGTCTACGGAAGTCCACAAGGCCGTCCAATTCGAGGCTACAAGAGCGTTCGCCAATCTCTCTCACTTCAGGAGGAACGAACGGAAGCTGATCACTTACCCTCAAGCAGTTGATAGGGTCGTGAGTTTGTTATCTTCGGACGTGGAGGAGAATATTCAGGCACAAGCCGCGAGAGCCTTTGCCAATCTAGCTATGGTCAGAGAAAACCTGGTCGAAATGGCAGCACAGCCAGGAGTTCTGAAGAGGCTAGTCGATTTGCTAGCCAGAGGAACAGCCGAGCATGTGCAAATTGAGGCTGCGAGAGCTATAGCTTATCTGTCTTATGACGATGAGAATCAGATCACAATCGCAGCGTTTCCAGGAGCACTTAAAAGATTGGTAGGCCTGTTGTCGAGAGACGTACCCTTGAGTGTGCTGGAACAAGCAGCTCTGGCTTTCGCCAACCTCGCTTGTGCACAGGCGAACAAAGGTGCCATGGTCTCGTTTCCAGGGGCTCTGAAAAAGCTCGTGGGTCTGCTCGGTAAGGGGACACCTTCCAGTATTCAATTCCAGGCTGCAGCAGCCTTCGCCGACTTGGCATGGGGGGCAGAGGAGACCAGAGTGCGAATGGCAACTTTCCCTGGGGCTATCGAAAGGCTCGTGGGTTTACTCTCCGATGATGTGGACGAGAACGTCCAGGCACAAGCAGCAAGAGCGCTGGCAAAGCTGAGATTATGATTTGGAATCACAATTTATTTAAATCCTCCTCCTCGGATTCTGGCTCGGCAGGCTGTTCTAGAGTGGAAGTTTGTAAATATGCGGCCGACAGGACGACGTTGTACACAGAGCTGAAATTTCTTGCAAGCATGGCTTGAACATAGGCAGAGCCTCTTCCGTCTTCGATCTTCGGTTCTATCCTGAGAAAGAACTTCGGCATCCTGAATTCATTCATTGTGTACGCGTGCGTAGACAAATGACTCTTCACCTGATTGGCTTGGCTGGAATGGGCAATGTACAGGATTTTTTTTTGACATCTGCTGATACTTCACATATAAGCTGCCGTTGTGGATTTTACTTGCCACACGTGGAAGATACTCCGAAAGACTGCGCTTCGATTTGGTTTTAGTGCTTCGGACTTCGAGTAAGCCTGCAGTGTGACTAATGACCGGTGCAAAATGGTGCAACCATTTTGCACATTTTGCACCATGGTCACTAGTCAGTGGTCTTTCCCCAAAATCTTATGAAAAACAACACTTCAACACATGTATGTCCTAGAATTTTCCCCTGGCGAGGGAAATCTCAGACCTTAGAGGTTAGTTAGTTGGCAGAAACAAGGCAATTTGGGTGATGCCTTTGCAAATAGTAGATGCCATCTTGGCAATCTGGGGAAATCTAAAACGATTTTCATGACTGTTGAATGATTCAACTGTTTGACAAATTCGACTCAACAGTCATTATACTTTTAAGTTACATCCGAATATTGGCTTGAATATTACGTGAAGTAGTGTTCTTCCTGATCCAACAGATGTCTATATGAGGTGATTCGTGGGGGTCCAGTCGTATTAACTGCTGCTCCTGTGCCGAAAGAGGAGTCGTTGGTGGTCGAAACCCTTGAGTGTTAGTTTGACATTTTAATCATAAAGGAAAGTTACTTGTTACCTAATTGTGAAGATATAATTTCCTTCGACAGAGCGCCCGGTTATCAAAAGCGCGAAGTGTTTCTGATCAGTAAAGGCACATAAACGCGTTTGTCATGATTCAACCGTGAGCATGCCACAACCCCGCCGTGAAGGGATTGTGGCATGCTCACATGCCCCGGGTACTGTAAGTGAGAGCTACACGGGTCCATTTCTCGTTTGAGTATTTATAGAAAATTATATATATTTAATTGAAATATTGTTATAAATATATATGTTAAATGTATCAAGCCCGTGGTACCCAAAGTGTCAAAAGTTTGAAAAACACAATACAAACAGTCCAACCCAGAGAGAAGGGGAGAGTCCAACCCAACAGAGAACATAGACCTCTCTGCAATAAGGGAGAATAGCTTGAAATGTACAGCAGGTGGTTGAGGTCCACACGACTACGCTTGGTTGCGTCTCGTCAGCTCTGGTGTGAAACTTGAAAAGGCTGGACTTGGTGCGTCACTGTAATAAATCACAGAGAAAAGTTAGAAGCTTATACTTCAGCTCGAACGAAAGCAAGACCGATTAGAGTTTGAAACTAGCAAAAATAAAAGCAGAAGAAGCTATAATTTGCGATCACAGGGTTGACAAAGCAGAAGTGACAAGAATCAATCATGTGATCCCGAGGCCTCCAGAAACCCATTTGAATAAATTCAGCTTAGAAGTGAACAGCAGGACAACAAACCCCGATACTCACTAAATCTCGAACTCTACCGGTGCACTTTCTCGGAAACCAGCCATTACACAGCACAGTGCAAGATGTACCTAGATTCTCGTCGTGAGGTCGAGGCAGGAGAAAGGGAAATTGTTAGATATTTATCATCAGATAACTTGGCCTACTGAGAGCTCCCACATTCAGATAACTCCAAGAATTAGATAATTCGATCAAAGTTCAAGAATTGGTCAAACCTTAAACATCTGCCGTCCGACCGCGACATGCGTTGAGGATGTACGTGGGGCTGGCTGTGAGTCTTTCTCAGCTCCTGTGTATTGTATAACTTTTCATCGCGGTGTCAAAGAAAAAGATGCAGATTCAACTGACTCAGGAAGGTATTTCACCGTTTTATAAACACGCACCTCCTCGGAGGGACCGTTCTTCTTAGTTCAGTGCTACTCATTGATCATGCCATCCGCATCCCATAAGAACAAAACATCTATTTATTTCCACCGAACTTTGCGTATTTTTCTTAAACATGTACCTTGTCCTATTTCGAAATAGGACAAGATTTGATGCTCATCAAGGAGAGAGACGACAGTGACGTGACAGGACCATGGCGTAAATGTAGTGCAACGAGATCGTGACCAGCCTAGCTATAGCATTAGTAAATTTGAACATCTTCAATGTGAGAATGATTCGAAGATACACTAATCTGTATTGGAACATTAACCGATAGTGAAATGACTAGAGACTTATGTTTCAAATCCAGATCAAAGTTTCTCAGCACCAAAGTTTGGCTTGTCCTGAGCCTTCAAATAAAGTCTACTTCCTCAATGGAAGCTTCGACCACTAACTTTTTGCTCTTTATATGAAAGAGGAAGAAACGATGGCATATTCCTGAGCATGTAAAATTTGCAAATTATATCTGCCATTCAGACAAGCTCTGGCATGTTTCTCCCTTTATATGCCGCATTATTTTAGATTTTAATGCTTCATGCAACCTGGAAGTGGCAGACACCGTTGGGTGTTCTCATTCCGAGTTTAAATGTTTCATACTAAAGATCTGATCTTATTTCGGTATATCAAAATACTTATCCATGTGTCGTCTTTAACGATGGTGTCGATATTGTTGTATCTCAATGGTGTCTGCATTTGTTGAAGTTGCAAAGTCTGCATTTTGTCTGCTTCAATTGTCTATTTTCTTTTAGGCTTTGATGTCTGAACTCACTGCCGCTTCTTGAAAGCTGGGAGCACAAACTGGAAAGAGAGGACTTGTATTCATTACTGGAAACTAGTTGTACACTGACTAGCCTCTCAGACTCAGAAATGAGTGTGTTTTCTGTTCAAGACTGCTGCTTACTGAAAATTGACCGACTCATAGCAACTAGTTTGCGAACGTTGTAGCATTTTCGTGCATTACATCAACAAATCAGATTGTCACTGTTCCTGTTATTCGTTTAGTGGGAGAAAATCTGTACCTCCAGTAATGAATAATTTAGATGTAATCTTGGCATTGATGTCAGCTACTTTGACATATGTTTTGTTCACATTGCCTTCCTGCAGTTCCAAAAGCTCTAGAAAAGATCGCGGATTTGCTGTGTAAAGAGGTGCCCGTCACGGTTCAGCTTGAAGCTGCGAAAGCTGATGCGAACATAGCCCATGCCAAAGAATGTGGAGCTAGCTCGCAGACTTCCCAGGAGTTCTGGAGAGACTGGTTGGCCTGATGTCTAGGAAAGTCCACGAGGCCAATCTCTCCTACTTCAGGAGGAAGAAACGGAAGCTGATCTCTTACCCTCAAGCAGTTGTTAGGGTCGTGAGTTTGTTATCTTCGGACGTGGAGGAGAATATTCAGGCACAAGCCGCGAGAGCCTTTGCCAATCTAGCTATGGTCAAAGAAAACATGGTCGAAATGGGCAGCACAGCCAGGAGTTCTGAAGAGGCTAGTCGATTTGCTAGCCAGAGGAACAGCCGAGCATGTGCAAATTGAGGCTGCGAGAGCTGTAGCTTATCTGTCTTATGACGATGAGAATCTGATCACAATCGCAGCGTTTCCAGGAGCACTTGAAGGATTGGTAGGCCTGTTGTCGAAAGACGTACCCTTGAGTGTGCTGAAACAAGCAGCTCTGGCTTTCGCCAACCTCGCTTGTGCACAGGCGAACAAAGGTGCCATAGTCTCGTTTCCAGGGGCTAGGGAAAAGATCGTGGGTCTGCTCGGTAAGGGGATTCCTTCCAGTATTCAAATCCAGGCTGCAGCCGCCTTCGTCAACTTGGCATGGGCAGGTGAGAAGAAAGTGCGAATGGCAACTTTCCCTGGGGCTATGGAAAGGCTCGCGGGTTTATTATCCGATGATGTGGACGAGAGTGTCCAGGCAGAAGTAGCAAGAGCGTTGGCAAATTTGTCTTTTGGGGAGAATGCTGTGAGGATGGCGAAGAGATTATACGAAGAAATTTTTATTCTTTGCTAATGGTGTGAAAAGTTACCGAAATTTTCGGTAACTTTTTATACCATTAGCATATAAAAAAATGATATTTTTTGTGTTTATGATTTAACTTAAGTCTTATGTGAGAGGATAATTACTATAATCAAAATTTCTCAAAAAAATGATATGTTTGGTATGTATGATTTAACTTTAAGTTGTGTGTTCATTTGGTGTGAGAAGATAAATATTATAATCAAAAATTCTAAAAAAATGATACTTTTTGTGTGTGTGATTTAACTCAGTCTTGTGTACATTTTGTTTGAAAAAAATAAACAATATAATAAAAAATTTCAAACTATTGTAATACATCATCTTTTTTTTACTTAATTCAAACGATGTTGAAAACTTGATTACATTAGAATGAAAAAAAATTACTAAATAGATTATAATGTTGATGCTTCAGATCCAAAATTTTATAGTAAAATTAATTTTCTTTACATAGTTGTAACACTAGAGTTGAATAAAAAAATTCACTCAAAGATAAAAAGATTATAAATTGTTAAGATAAGATACAAAATTTGGTTTGTACTTTAAATAGATTTTATGAATAAATACAAGGAGAGAAGATGTTGTCATCCATCATACATAGTGTCAATAGTGAGTGCAACTTTGTTTAACTTGAATTCTAAAAAAAAATCAAATAATAATTTTTTCACATTTCCAATAAATATTATTTTGCATTTAATAAATGCATGATTTGGATATGTTTCACATAAAAAAAAGAAAATCATTGATTCAAAATGATCCAAGAAATTGAGAAAAAATATGAATCTATATTCATTTCAAAAAAAAATTTAAAAAAATTGTCAACATCTATCATATAAATCATGAGTATCATCATGATTGATACTCATGTTGTTCAAATTAGATTATATTCTAAACTTTAATTAACATGATTTCATTATGTAAAAATATATGCTCTGAAATAAAATAAAATAATAAGGTATTATATCAATATTTTTAAATAAATTTTTAATTGAATTTTTAGAAATTTTTTCATGTTATACAGAATATTTATCATTATAGTAATATTTTGAAATAGCAACAAATTTTCTTGATAGTTTGATTCATATGCTATTCTATAAAAATCTAGTATCCCAGATTGTGTTATTCAAATAAGTATTATGTTAATCTAATTGTAGATTGAAGTAAGAAAATATATTTAATTTGACAAATTTCTCCGTTCAAAATAATTAATATATATATCAAATTTAAACAAATGGAGTTCTAATTACAAAATATAAATTTCCAATAGTGATAGACATTGTTATTACGATTGGATATCATTATTGAGAGATGTTACAAATATAAAATCCTGAGCTCTCATCTTAGTATTCATTGATCTCAAAATGTTTTGTAAGTACATAGTTTGGTTCTAAGTCTATCTTCGTACATTCATCTGACATTGTCATTTTCAGATCTATAATGTTGAAGATATTAGCATTGTCAAGTCTATATTGGAACATTATAACCAAAATAGTGCTACCAATTCAGATGATGTTGTTTACATTTCACATGTGGCGTTCGAGGGACAAACGAATCGATCAATCTTTAATTTCATCATTCTTTTCTCTCTTGAATTATTTTAATCTACAAAATTTCAAACTACCGACTGTTATTTCTTCAATGCAAAATATCAACAATACAAATTACACTTCAGACATTTTTCCATTAGAATTATCAATCCACCAAAAAACGATGACTGCCAAAAAATAATTCTATCTGGGATGTGAGCAAGATTTTGTTCTCCTGCTTGTTGATGTAGATATGTCATGTCTTGGTTTCGGATGCAACGCTAAGTCTTCTTCGTTCACTTGGGAGTTTTAGAAATGGTGGAATGTATTTGTTGAAAACGCATTGGTTTCAGGTTGTTATCTCAACATGTAACATAATAAGACCATCACTGAAATCAAATATCGGTCCTTGCACATGACCTTTTCGTAAATGTTACGACCAATAATACCTCCATACATCTTTTCTTTGAGACGCCGAGAGCAATCGACCTTCACAACTACGCGCTTCTGCCTCGTGATCACATCAATCCTTCCCGAACTTGTAGATAATAAATCTGTGAATCTTTTTTGAGCCAAGAGGTAGCACCAATTGATTACAGCGATTGTGTAAGGAAATTGTCATGTCATAAATGTTTCAGATTCTCACCTACAATCTTCACAAATCAAAAAGAATAGAAAAGTGCTCAGCTTAAGATTCAAAATCTCCAAATAGGTGGATGTTGTCTCTGTGAACGATGTGCAATGAACTGCTTGCGCAATGCTATGTAAATGCTGCTAACTATGTAGGTCTGCTTTGGAGCACAAGTAAGAGTAAATTACATATCGGTGGTTTTTGAAGTAAATGAAGTTGTTGCAATCCATACTGCTTTCCAAGGTTTAAAGAGGTATGCAGTATAGACTCTAAATCTCATAAATCTCAATGATCAGGAGATGTTTCTCATGTAGTAAGAAGCAAAAAAAATTCCTAAGAGATCTTGAATTTACAACGATCTCACGCGATTGAGTCTTTCGAAGCTCACAAAGTTCATATGTCAAATATAAGAACATGAGTTTAGAAATGCCAAGTACACCAGCATGATTTCACGTGACAACCAAGTCATCCCGTTCTCCTGAATATTAAACTCGTCATATACGTTCCCATACTATGGACATAAGCTTCACTCATCTTACAAACGTGGAAGCACTGTTCAATAGGTGGATTTTGATTCTACAGCAACCTGAAACTACACATCTCCTTTGGCTCGAAAAAGTCAAAGCCTCTCTACATTGTCACGTCATTCAATTTGATATCAACTTGAAAACCTTAGATCAACTGCTTCTTCATCATCTGACTTGGATTGAAACAATTTTTTGGATGTTGACGGTGTCGATCTTAGTAAACGAATCTTAATTACTGAATAAATGGTAATAATTTACATCTTATCCAAAGAGCAGTGAAAGTTGAAACGCCCTTCTCAGCCATGAAATGGCAAAAGCCGTTGGTTCACTTACTAAGTATTGAAAAAGAATCGATAGACTCTTGATGGTTCGAGCCTGTCTGCATAGATTTAGCACTATACTGCCCAAGCACTCTGTAGAGATAAGCTCATTCAGCTATTCACCAAAGATTTTGAGTAGATTTTGCAGCAAACATATCTAAAACTTTATGTTTTATGGAGTACTCATCCAGTAAGTTCACTGTCATTTGGTGGCACCTTAATAGCACTCTGATTCGAACAAATATTGTTCATATTTTTCTGAATCTAATCAATACTTTCTTCAGAGTTGTAGAGAGCACTTCAATTACACTTCGGCTCCATATACAATTTCTTTGCAAGTACTAGACAACCATCACATACTGATTTTTATAAGATCAATCTCATGATTTGATGCGCAAAGGCAGTATAGGATCTGTGCATGAGTAAATTCCTATAAGTGAAGCTCAATACTAAGAAGATATTTGTTGCTACATGCGCTGAACAATGTGCGCTTGGAATAAACATTTTAATTCTTCCTCCTAGGCATAACTTAGAAGTTATGAGCATTGTTGGGAATTCAAAATGATAACGGAGATTCTTTGAATTTCCATGCAGCATGATGTTCATATGAAATGCTGCTACACAGCTGCCATTCATCAACTTATAGAAGCAGCGAGTTTCACATATTTGGAACTACTACAAGAATTTTATCAAATAATATAATTTTCATTGATAAGACTAAGTTTGAAGTTATATTTTGTGACAATTTAAATATATCAAATTCTTAACTAAATTTAGAAACAAAGAAATTTGTATATGATCAAATGTATATTTTAAAATAATATGACATTAGTCATATCTACCAAATTTAATCGCATTATAAATAAGTTAGGTAAGTTAGGAGAAGTTTATTAAGTCAGGAGAACAATCAATTCAAAAAAATGTTTTAGTCACCAAGGTAAATTCCAAAGTTATTAAAGAATAGAGGATTAGATTAAAGATTCTCACGCAGGTTTGAATAAATTTTGTGTGAATATAATGTAAGATTTTTGGATAATTTTGAAAATATGTATATATATATATGTTTTTATCTTTAACTATAAAGATTTGGAGCATATAACATCGAAAACTATTCACATTGAGTTGGAAAAAAAATTTCATTTTGGAAAATATAACTTTAGATAGATACTCGTATAATGATGATGAAAGAATATATTAACAAATTGAGAAGACTGGCTTTATCTATCTATGAAATAGAAACTTTTTAATTGACATTATTTTTGTATAGATTAAGAACACTAAATTACTTGAATCTGTAGGTTACATGATATTGAATACTGTCACAAAAAATTAATTTTATAATTAAACTTTCATAAATGAAAATTTTGATTAGATTTAGGCCATGAATGCTACAATTTACATATAATAGTTATAATTGTAAAATAAAAATAGAAATTCAAATGCTTTAAAAAATGAACTTGTAACTAGATTTATCACATCATGAGTAATATGTTTTCTTTAGAGTGTCAATTTGATCTATGCAACAAACTTTGTGATGATTTTTATAGGTTTTTTATTGTGTGCACAATAAAAAATTATATCATTTTGATCATTCGATCAAAATACTATAACACTTGAAGAAAGTTTCATTAATGATTTAATTAGTACATATTTGGATGTAAAAATTTTTTTTTCTGTCATATAATCTCAAATAATGAATCTGGAGTTATAATAACGAATCTGGAGAAGTTAAAAGAAATTCTTAAACCAAATTTTATTATGACATTGAATTTAATTGACCAAGTTGAAGTCATATCTTGATACTATGGGTTAGAATTAACATTTTTGCTTGTGTTATTTCAATAAAATCCATGATTTCACACCCTACAAGCTCATTTTTAAGTATGGAAAAGCAATGATTACCTTTGATCTTATCACAAACGTGGGTGAGAGTATCTATTTTGGATAAATTAATTTAATATAAATGTTTATTTCTTTACACAAATATATCAAGTATTAATACGATGCACATTGATTCAATTAGATTATGAAAAGCATGATTTTTAAATACTCATGCAAATACATATATAATGCAAGCACAAATATTTAGTAATGAACAGATTATGAAGCTCTAGCTCTAATATTTCAGTGAAAAACATTTTTGACACTATGTTTTTGACAAAAGATTCACTATAGTTATAAATTATAAAACCTTGAAATATTATTTCAATGAACCCAATGTTGGATCAAGTATAGCTAGATGAAACTTATGAATAGCTGAGTTTAATTATTTTATCAAATATCAATTTGGCAAGATATTCCAAACATATGATGAAAAAAGAGATTAGTCGATGTATAATACCTAACATTTTGCTTGATATGATATGGCAATGTGTCAGTGATTTAACTAGACCTCTTTAAAGTTTTTTTGAAACGTTTTATTGGTGACGTTAATAATTCTATATCCTGAAGTTGCTACTAAATAAAAAAATAAAAATAGTCTAAACAATGAAATATCTACAAGTAATCAATTAAATAAAAAATAACATGTTGTTAGAGTATTATTTTACTGAAATCTAAAGTTAAAAAATACAAAATAATATTGCTCATTTCTGCATCTCTAAAAGTTTCTTTGTAATTGAATTGAAATGACAATGTTTTATTGGTGACGTTATAAATTCTATATTCTCAACTTGCTACTAAGTAAAATTATACACTTAGTCTAATCAATGAAATATCTACAACTAATCAATACAATCAAAACTAACACTAGCTAAATTTAATCATGATCAATTTTTTGGTTCAATCTATAACTATGCATTCATACAATTACAAATTTTATAGATTTTTGTACTTGTTTATATATTTGCCATATCATTAATCTACTAGAAGTGAAATGTATGGAAGTAGTAAAATTTTATCTCCTTGCATATATTTAAACATCCTATATAAGAATAGAGAGAATGTAAGGATAAATGGATTTATGTAGAATGAAAGTATTTGTTGTAACCCAAAGTAAAAATTTGAAAGTGAGATCCAAACATAAGGAAAAATTTTAAGTAATCGTAAGAACTTTGTGACGTTTTTGCATAATCTTCAAATAGTTTACAATTTGGATTTTTTTGTATGCTAAAAGTTTGATTTAATTGGATTTATTCAGACTAAAAATGGATAGATTTGAGTTGTTAAAAAATTGAAATTGAAACATTGATTATAAAATAGTGCTATAGCAATCATAACTTCTGATACATGACTTTTTTCTCCTCATAAAATTATATGAGCTGAAGTTAAAAAGTTTGTATGTATTTGCATGAAGTTTGGAATTTGCTAAAATAACAGTTTGATGTATATCAAGTTAAAATATTGTTTTTTTATAATGAATGTTTGAGTAATACTTGAGATGTGAAAGATATTATTTCTAAATTACAATAAAAAAGATGAAAATTTTGATCAAATTTGACTTAGATGTGATGAATTAAATTGATATTAGTTGTTATAAATCTTGTGAAAATTTGAAAATTTGGAAAAATAAAAAGAAATATAGCGAAAGAAAGAAACAAAGTACATGAGTTATACAAAGATCTCAAGAGAATGATCTACAACAAGATGCTAAGTAATTTCAAAATAGTAATATGTACATGTGAAAACGATAAAAGATATTTTCCAAGTTTAATCATGTTATCAAATAGGTTATGAATAATAGTTCATTTATCTTGTCGATCTTGTTAAGTTAAAATATTTCTGAAGAAACAAAATCTTGAATTTTTTATTATAACCAGTTGACTAGATTTACAATTTATTGTAAGCTCAATGTATACAAATTATTTTCAACAAAATAATTGCAATATTCGTCTGCACTTTTTTTGCATCTTGAAGTTGCTGCATGTTAATTTGCAATGGCTATTGATAGGGTACTTTATTAGCATAACATAATTATAGAAAGTATTGTACAAAATCACAAAGTTTGCATCATTGATTGATGTATGTGTAATTTTGATCACACATATATTCTAATACATCATTTTTGCAGTTAACTTTGAGTAGGCAAGATCTTGACAAGACAATTCAATGATGATGCTGGTTCCATCATATGAACATGATATGTTTCTAAATTATCATTTTTCATTCTTATTTGAAGATGTTCAATATGATAAACTTCACAACAAACATATTGAAACAATACATGTTATCAAGGACGACAACACTATATTCTCAAAAAAAGAATTACAATTAGAAATAACGAATTTAGTATATATATATTAAAAATATCTCAAAATTCAATCTCCAAATAGTTATATAAAAAAAATGTGGAAGATGGAAGAAAAATGTAATATTAGCTCAATTCAAAATCATTCATGCAAAGAAGTACACCACATATATATATATATATATAAATTTATTTATTTACACACAGAGTGCTGAAAATGTTCACAAAATTATTCCTACACAGAAGTATTCATATATACATACATATATACACACACAGTACTGAAAATGTTCACACACTTGCATTCTTGACCGGACTTTGGGTTGGAGATTCGCGTGTAGACATCTCATTTTAACCATGTTGCAAATATGCTAACCTTGGATGAATTTGGCTGTAGCATGTGACTTTTAGACTTTTCGAATATATTATAACTTTTGCCCGCAATAATTGGCTCGTAATTCTTATTTTGCAATTTTTTTTCAGGAATTCTGATGACAGAAGAAGAAAATTCCATACAGTTTGTAAGTCTTTGGTTACGGATATGGATGAAATCAATCTGAAATGCTCATGTCAATGTGACTTGAAATAAGGTAACGCCCCTTTGTCTGTGTATGAGATGCAAGGTAGCTTCGTTCAACTCTCTACGAGCAAAAGCAAATCTCGTTCACTTCAGGACGCATGCATGGATCATTTTCCTTCATTCATTCGAATTCTCTTCACGATACTGAGTTATTCATGAAGTGTGTTAGGTAAGACATGAAGACGCTTGGAACTTCATGATATAGATCAAATGTGAGAAACAAAGTCAATTCAGAATGCCTACCAGTGTACCCACGGGCTCAGATGCCGAAGAAATCACAGCCACTAGAAGCGAAGCGAGGACAAGGACAAAGGTCCCACACTGAGCTCGTTCAAGAGCAACGATGGATTGCAATACTCTCTTACGAAAGACCGGGTCTTCAGGCTTCCATGTCCCTCCTCCCCTCACAACTCATGCATCTGCGAGCATCATCTAATTTTTCCTCCTTGATGCCACTGCCAAACTGGAAATCTGGCAGCATCCTCCTGCATCCTGCAACTACTCTCTTTACAAGTGTCAGAGAAAAGAACCGCCAAGAGCATCCCGACGACAACCGGTAATTCCGCACATGGGCAATATTGACAGCAGTCCACGTCCGTCAACTTTGTGATTTTTTTACCACCTTTCGACAGAAAGGCCAGTGCAGAGCGAGAGGGTGACTGGGGTAAGCAGTCACCTCCTGTGGATGGCGGTAACGAAGAGCAGGAAGCTTCGCTCTCAACACTCGACCGTGTTGTCATGGATGCTGCAGGTGTGGCAGTGATGGATGCTGGAGGATTTGACCGAGTCGACTGTGGAAAGTCTGTCGGAGTCTTCCTCCTTACAAGCTTCGCCATATTCAGCCGCTTTCTTACACTCGCATGCAAATATAGATCTGCATCTTTGGAATGGATGTACCGAAAGCAGCGATGACGCAGATCAGTCACGAACTGGATCTCTAGATGTAGCTCGGTCCATTGACCACGAAAAGATATTAGAGATCACATGAAATGCAGGGGTGTGACTATCTGCCGGATGACGTCAGTGGAATTCTCCAGGTTTTGTCCCCCTTTCGTCCCGTCAGACAGGTAGATCCCAGAAATCCACCCACGACCGAGCGACAAGTTCACAACATCGCTGTCTCACGGCTAAATAAGAATAAGAATCGAACCATGACGGATGGAACGTTGTATGGATACACAGTCAGACGAAGAAGAGCAGCTGTAAGATAGAACATGATCGTTTGTGTTTGTGTTTACATCTTCGTTCACAAGTTTGGGACGTCCCAACTGATGGATGTGGTAAAGTCCACCAGGTCGTCACGTGTCAGTAATTATTGCAGTCTATGCTTCCCTTTTCAGTCTCGCTACAGCTTCTGTCCGTTGCCTCAGCACGGCTTACAAGCTTGGCCTCTAGCATTTCATTGACTCCGTTCTGAAGCGTGACAACGCAGTCTACGGGCCTCGCATGTACACTGAGGGCCCGACCCTCAATCCTCATGGGAAGATTTCGGTTGACTGTTGAGAACCACGAACTGCTCTCAGCCTTGCGTCCCGCTTGCCTGGCGTTTGAAATGTGCATGCTGTTCATTATGCTTCCTCGTCTTAACTGCGGTGGTTGCCCAGCTGTGTCTACTTCACTGCCCAGTCTCATACTCAGACATCGGGTATTTCCAGTTGAAGATTGTGCCCTTATGATCCAGTAGATTCTCAACATTTTCTCACTGTGATTATTAATGCCACCTCTGGAGATGGTCCTGGGGATGGTAAACTGTCCCTGGGGACATGCTTGCCATCGAGCCTTCTCGTTGCCTGTCGTATCCCGGCCAGTTCCGGAGAAAACAGTAGAACCGACACATGCGGCTCTGTGTTTCACATTGGGATTGAGCTCAATTCTCGTCGAGCGCGGACACCACATTTGTCCAAGAGCTGTTCAGCAGAATCATGTAGCCAACCATCGTAGACGGCCTTCTCTTCTCTTCTTCCACCTCTGAAGAACGCAGTCTGTGTTTTTGGGAAGATTAGAACCATGCGGCTCCCTGGATTTCTTTCTCTTTCCGGTGACACGTTCAGACCTTTAGTTCAGTTCGTGTAATTGAATCTCAACTATGATTTGTATTACGTCGGATCCATGTTCTTAATCACGTATTTCAGCCATCTCTCTTCAGGGAATGTTCGATTTCGACCATAACAGAGCCATGTAGTGCTTATTGCTCGTCGAAAGTGTCCGGTGAGAGCAGGCCCAGCTCATTGTCAAAATGGCGGAAGCTGTGTTTATTATGGGCCTAGGCCTCGTCGGAAAAGCAGTGAAAAATCTAGTCCTAACTTTGCTGGATGTAAAAGAAACCAAGCAGCACAGCAAGATCATTTGCAAGGAGATCGACTTGTTTGTGAAAACGTTGAACGAGAACATCAAGCTCCTGAAAGTGAACCTGCCCGCCAGCGTGAGCAGACGAGCATTAGGTGCGTTGTCGTTGTCATTCTGTTTTCGGTTCCGTCTCTTGAGATCCAATGGCGGTCCCAGTCATCGGTCATGTTTTGGAGTCATGGCCACGCCTGCGACCCCGACGAACATGGGACTGGTTAAGGAAATGGGAACATGAATAGGCAACATTTTCTTACAGAGTTCAGTTGCCAATCGAGAGGCGATCGAGTGCCTGGGCTTGAACTCGTCGTGGCGCATCATACGAAGGAAGGGGCGGCGTGACGAAGCCTTGGATCAGGAATTGTCGGACAAGATGGCAGATTTGAGCTTTGAACATATCTCCTCCAATTGCATCGGCAAATTTATCGCAGAATCAAGTTTTCCCGCCCGATCAGCCACACCAAACTTCTGGCTGTCAAGCTGCAGAGACATGAAAGCATAGATTCTAATATCAAGTTCCAGTGTTTCAGGAAAAAAATGTTTTGTTTGCACTGACCTCTGCTTTTGTGCTGCTAACAGAGTCTCTAGTGACGAAGCTGGGAGACGCGACTGCGTTTGTGCAGTCCCGCCAACGTCAGGGCTTTTTCAAAACCCTTTGGAATGCACACGAGACTAAGCAGGAGTTGGAGATGCTACGTCGGAATCTCGACTCTTCATTTCAAATGGCTCTTTTCATCACCACTCTGGATGTGAGGTTCAGTCACACTCCTGCAACATATTACTTCAGTTTCTTCATTGTTGCTATGGATCTTACCAAATTTCGCAGTCACGCTAGCTTGATATGTGTTATATACCTCGTGAAGCAGCATGGTGATAAGTAGGATTTGTTCTTCCACGCTCAACTTCGATCAAGTAGGCAGATAACATCCGAAAGACACTCAGCTTCATAAACCCCAGAGTTAAAAAAAACTCTAAGGTTAATCCCTGCTTTTTAGCGCTGAAGATCAAAGTCGATACTCCAGTTGCACTAATCGCCAACAAAGTTCCATTACCTGAGTCTTTTGGGATCGTAAATCTGCTGGTATTATAAAAAGAAAGTGGATGTTATGGCTTTTATACAAGTCTCTTGGTTTGGTATTCATCGCGTTTAAATGCATTGAAGGCTGTAGATTTTGACTATCAGCATCTGAAGAAGCCGTCAGGAGAGTACTGATGGACTAGAGTAGAAAGTATGTTCCAAATTTGGCTCCTCATTCCTGAATCTGCAATTTGACATGTCATACTAGGTTGCTGTGGACGGGCATAGTAAAATGGAAGACTTTCAGATGAAGATGCTGGAAATTCACTCAACTCATGCATCGAGTTCGGAAACTGCAAGGAGTGAGATCCGAGATATACTCGTACCCCTTCTAGAAGAAGTACCGAGAAAAGAAAAGTTGCAGTCAGTAATCTCTGTAGTTCAAAATATGAATCAAACTGCGGACACGGAGAAGTTCTTCGCCGATGTAAGTGTCGAACTGGTCATCACCAACACATTTACATTAAAGCTCTTCAAGCTTCAAGCTCTGCAACGCGTCTAGTTCTGAGAATATGTCCATGCCCTGCAGGTTCTAGCCAACCTCGATCCAGTTGCACCTATGGAGGATGATGAGCAGTCTACTGTTACAAATGCAGATGATGACGAAGAGTTCAACGATCCCATCACTTGTGAGCTGATGTGCGACCCAGTTAAAGGAACAGATGGCCGCACTTACGATCGCTGGACCATCATTGACAACGATTTAACTAGGAGTCCCTTTGATCAGAGCAAGAGCAAGCCTTTCCGAATAGAGTGTGATGACATCAATGTCCGTGGACGTCTATTCAAAAAGTATCCCGAGGCAGAAGCTTTGTTTCGTGAACTTCGTCACGATTACAGGAAAGAGGCTATGAAGCTGGCAAGAGGAGGCCACGATGCCGAGGCTCTGGTGATGTTAGAGAACGTTCTCAAGTGGGCCGATGACGATTCTGAGTGTTTTGAACTCCGAGATTTGATCTTGGAAAGGAAATCCCAGCAGGACTTTGCAACTGGAGTTAACATCCAGGAGCGGGAGACCAGTCGCTCACTCCCTTTTACGCAAAGCAGCCCAACTCTACCTTCAAGATCGATCACCCTTCCGAGAGATCACGAGTTTCACATTGAAGAACATATTCACAGAGTAAGGTCATTTGATACTACAAGCTCGAGAGATATTCCACCTAGAAGCAAACCAAAACAAGGTATGCACAACTGCTACTCGCGACCCAAAACTTTGGCAAAATGTTTTTATCTTTTGTTGTCAATGCCAGGGTGTAGCCCAACTTGCGTGAGCTCTAGAAGCATTGTTCCTTCAACAACCAAACATGGATAGCAAGAATGATGAGAGGAGACAATGCAAAACGAAGGACTTAGTTCAGGGCACTTTCACCTTTTTCTTGTTCTGTACAGTTGTCAAGAACAAGTTCAAGTGAAATGCGTAGTACGTAGAAATTATAAGAAAGGACTATTTGATACAATTTTGTCAGTTTCCCCTTAGCCAGCTTTGCGATAGAATATATAGACATCAAGGTACTTGCAAGATGCAGTGGATGGAATTGAACCTGCTGTGCTTAAAACAAATTGTGCTCATTCTGCAGAGGAGAAATCAAGGGCCATGATAGCTATACACGAGTTGAAGAGCATCGTATGCCTCTTGTCCAAAGAAATAGCCGATAGTCCCTTGAGAGAAGCAGCAAGGAACTTTGCAAATTTGGCCCGGGATTCCGAGAACAAGGTTAATATGGCTATGTATCCAGGAGCACTGGAGAGTTTGGTAGGATTGTTGACCTTGGACGTACCCGAGAGTGTTCTATACGAGGTCACCAGAGGATTCGCGAACCTCTCCTCTGCCAGGGAGAATCAGGAGAAGATGGCGAAAGTTCCGCAGTGTTTGGAGAGGCTAGTACAGTTGATGCACAAGGAAGTACCGAGGAGTATCCAAAGCGAAGCTGCCAGAGCTTTCGCCAACTTGGCCTTGGCGAAAGAGAACAGGTTGAAGATGGGAGCGGTTCCAGGGATCTTGGAAAGGTTGGTAGATCTTTTTTCTAAAGATGTAGGTGAGAGTGTTCAGAGGCAAGCTACTCGAGCCTTTGCCAATCTTGCGAGTGCGGAGGAAAATATTCTGAAATTGGCAGCAGTTCCGAAAGCTCTAGAAAAGGTCGTGGGTTTGCTGTGTAAAGAGGTGCCCGTCACGGTTCAGGTTGAAGCTGCGAAAGCTGTTGCGAACATAGCCCATGCCGAAGAATGTGGAGCTAAGCTCGCATACTTCCCAGGAGTTCTGGAGAGACTGGTTGGCCTGATGTCTAGGAAAGTCCACGAGGCCGTCCGATTCGAGGCTACAAGAGCCTTCGCCAATCTCTCTCACTTCAGGAGGAACAAACCGAAGCTGATCACTTACCCTCAAGCAGTTGATAGGGTCGTGAGCTTGTTATCTTCGGACGTGGAGGAGAATATTCAGGCACAAGCCGCGAGAGCCTTTGCCAATCTAGCTGCGGTAAGAGAAAACCTGGTCGAAATGGCAGCACAGCCAGGAGTTCTGAAAAGGCTAGTCGATTTGCTAGCCAGAGGAACAGCCGAGCATGTGCAAATTCAGGCTGCGAGAGCTATAGCATATCTGTCTTCTGACGATGAGAATCAGATCACAATCGCAGCGTTTCCAGGAGCACTTGAAAGATTGGTGGGCCTGTTGTCGAAAGACGTACCCTTGAGTGTGCTGAAACAAGCAGCCCTGGCTTTCGCCAACCTCGCTTGTGCACAGGCGAACAAAGGTGCCATGGCCTCGTTTCCAGGGGCTCTGAAAAAGCTCGTGGGTCTGCTCGGTAAGGGGACACCTTCCAGTATTCAATTCCAGGCTGCAGCAGCCTTCGCCGACTTGGCATGGGCAGAGGAGAACAGAGTGCGAATGGCAACTTTCCCTGGGGCTATCGAAAGGCTCGTGGGTTTACTCTCCGATGATGTGGACGAGAATGTCCAGGCACAAGCAGCAAGAGCGCTGGCAAATCTGTCCGTAGTGAAGCAGAATGCCGTGAGGATGGCCACATACGAAGAAATCGTCGCCAGACTGGTAGCGTTCTTGTCGACAGATGTGTGCGAAGAAGTTCAGACTCAAGTCGCGACAGCATTTGCGAACCTCGCTGCCGTGGATGAGAACAAGTGGCATATGGCAGAGTACCCAGGGTCTATAGGAAGACTGGTAGACCTGATGTCCATTGGAGTACCTGAAAGAGTTCAAAGACCAGCTACTCGAGCTTTCGCCAGTCTGTCCAGCTTTCGGGAGAACAAGGTGATGATGGCATCATATCCCGGAGCTCTCGACAGGCTGGTGGATCTTCTTCATGAAGACGTGGGCGAAGGCGTTCAGATGTACGCCCGGAAAGCTCTTTCCAGACTCAGCGGGAACGAAGTTCGACTGAGATGGTGATTTGGAACCACAATTTGTTTAAATCCTCCTCCTCAGATTCTGCTCGGCAGGCTGTTCTAGAGTGGAAGTTTGTAAATATGCGGCGGACAGGACGACGTTGTACACAGAGCTGAAATTTCTTGCAAGCATGGCTTGAACATAGGCAGAGCCTCTCCCGTCTTCGATCTTCGGTTCTATCCTGAGAAAGAACTTCGGGATCCTGAATTCATTCATTGTGTACGTGTGCGTAGACATATGACTCTCCAGCTAATTGGCTTGGCTGGAATGGGCAATGTACAGGATTTTTGACATCTTCTGATACTTCACATACAAGCTCCCGTTGTGGATTTTACTTGCCACACGTGGAAGATACTCCGAAAGACTAACTGCGCTTCGATTTGGTTTCAGTGCTTCGGACTTCGAGTAAGCCTGCAGGTGCAACCATTTTGCACCGGTCACTAGTCAGTGGTCTTTCCCCAAATCTTATGAAAAACAACACTTCAACACATGTATGTCCTAGAATTTTGTACCCCTGTCGAGGGAAATCTCAGACCTTAGAGGTTAGTTAGTTGGCAGAAACAAGGCAATTTGGGTGATGCCTTTGCAAATAGTGGATGTCATCTTGCCAATCGGGGGAAATCTGAAACGAATTTCCCGACTGTTGAATTATACAACTGTTTGACAAATTCGACTCAACAGTCATTATATTTCTAAGTTACACCTGAATATTGGCTTGAGTATTACGTGAAGTAGTGTTCTTCCTGATCCAACAAATGTCTAGATGAGGTGCTTCCTGGGGGTCGAGTCGTACTAATTGCCGCTCCTGTGCCGAAACAGGAGTCGTTTGTGGTCGAAACCCTTGAATGTTAGTTTGACATTCTAATCGTAAAGGAAAGTTACTTGTTATCTAATTGTGAAGATATAATTTCCTTCGACAGAGCGACCGGTTATCAAAAGCGCGAAGTGTTTCTGATCAGTAAAGGCACATAAACGCGTTTGTCATGATTCAACCGTGAGCATGCCACAATCCCGCCGTGAAGTTGTGGGTTCTCTCTGCGATAAGGAAGAATAGCTTGAAATGTACAGCAGGTGGTTGAGGTCCACACGACGACGCTTGCTTGCGTCTCGTCAGCTCTGGTGTGAAACTTGAAAAGGCTGGACTTGGTGCGTCACTGTAATCAATCACAGAGTAAAGTTAGAAGCTTATATTTGAGCTCGAACGACCAATACGAGTTTGAAACTAGCAAAAATAAAAGCACAAAAAGCTGTAATTTGCGATCACAAGGTTGACAAAGCAGCAGTAACAAGAATGAAGTATGTGATCCCGAGGCCTACAGAAACCCATTTGAATAGATTCAGCTTAGAAGTAGACAGCAGGGCGACAAACCCAGATACTCACTAAATTTCGAACTCTACCGGAGTACTATCTCGGAAACCAGTCATTACAAAGCACAATGCAAGATGTACCTAGATGCTCGTCTTGAGGTCGAGGCAGGAGAAAGGGAAATTGTTACGCCAAGTTTATGATGACTAATTTCCGATCATCATAAAACTTGGCCTTTTTAGAGCTCCCATATTCAGATAACTCCCAAGTAATAAAGAATTCCATTGTAAATAAAGAAATGGTCAAACCTTGAACATCTGCCGTCCGACAACGACATGCGTTGAAACAATGTTTATGTCTCGTTTATTGTCACAGACTTTGTTAAGTAAACTCCGCGGCCTACCACATATTTATAACTACCTAATTTGTTTTCTATCTATTGTCACACAGCTGTGTGACTCTCACTTCATGCTTTCAGGGAGTGTTTTTTCTACACCCACCTACTATTCCCAAAGCCTCTCGATTCAATGTAATTTTTACTATGTTTAGTGGTTTTGTTATGCAATCTGCTTCTTTTTTATTTTCGGTATATAATTGACTTGTAAGTCGCTTGCTTGAGCTCTTTCCCTTATAAAGTGATGTTGAAATTCTATATGCTTTGTTCTAACATGCAAAACAGGATTTGCTACTACTCTAATATATGACTGGTTGTTGCATAAAAATAAGGTTGCTACTTTTTCACATAACCCTAACTCTGCCAATAATTGGCGTAAGAAAACAATGTCTTTTGCATACTCAAAAAGTGTACAATATTCAGCCTCAGTAGTTGACATCGTCACTAAAGACTGCAATTTGCTACTCCAATCAATTGTAGTACTTCGAAGCTTGTGAACTATTCCGGTTGTTGATCTTCAAGTATCAACATCCTTCCTATAATCAGAGTAAGTAAAGATATGATACATCAAACCTCCATGTTGCTTGAAGTGAAGATCCCAATTTATCTTTTAGCTTCAAATACTGCAACATTGACTGTGCAAGAGCCCAATGAATCTCTTGAAAATGATGCATATATCGACATACACTATTTACTGCAAAGCTAATATCAAGTTTTGAGATAGTTGTGACAAAGAGAAATGATCCAATTATTGACCTATATAATGTAGCATCAACGGTTGGTGTTGTAGTGTGATGCTGTAAGTAGAATCCAGGAGCCATTAGATTACAAACTGAGTTACAAGTCTCTAAATTTAATTTTTCTAGAAAATTTTGTATAATTTTTTGTTGATGCAAAGAGATTTTAGTCTTTGTTTTCTCTAATTTTGCCCCTAAGTAGAGCTTTGCATTATCCAGAATTGTCATATCAAATTCGCTTATAAGAATACTTTTGATCTTGTTGAGTTCATTATGATTATCTCCAACAAGCAACAAATCATCAACATAGAGTAGCACAATTCTATACTTGCTATCAATTATTGAGTAGTACATATTACTATCAGCTGTGCTCTTCTTGATTCCATGTTGTGTTAAAAAGGTATAGATTCTCTCATATGAAGCCTTTGGTGCTTGACGAAGGCCAGAGATAACTTTCAAAATTTTACTCATTTTTTTTTCTTTAAATACTTCAAAGCCATCTGGCACATACATGTACACATTTTCATCGAACTTGTCATTTATGAAGGTTGTTTTAAAATCAAGCTTGGAAATCTTTCACTTTTATTTGCAGCTAAGAAAAGTATGGTTAGAACTGTGATTCACTTTACTACCAGAAAAAAGTTATTGTAAAAATAGACATACTTTAACTGTTTGTTTTCTCTAGCAACTACCCTAGCTGTAAGCCTCAAAACTTCTCATGATGCTTCAACTTTGTATTTATAAACCCACTTTGCAGTAATTGGAGTGACTCCAAGAGACACTATGTCCTTATCTCCCATGTCAGGTTCTTATAAATTGATTCAACCTCTTATTCCATTGCTGATTTTCAACCTGCATGTGCCACTTCCTGTTGAAATGTGATTGGATCTTCATGTGATGACAACATTCATAAGTAGTCTTTAAATCTAGAGTTTGGAGCCATTTCTCTCATCGGGTTACTCTTGGTACGTACATGACTTCTCTATTGTCGTTCATAAACATGTGAAGTTGGACTAGATTCAACTTCATGGTTTGTTGCTTCGGACGGTGTATTCTCTTCATCAACAAACTTCTGATCATTGCTGTTTGAATTCTGAACCTCTTGCACGTTTATATGTGAAAGTGATGTTAAACTTGAGCTTGGTATGATTTCCTCAATATTAATTTGTTCATCAGATAAACTAAACCTTGCTATCACTTCATCAACTTTCAACACAACTCATTATCATTTCTAGAAAATGCTCGAAACGTGTCTTCTTCACGAGCGCAGCTTGTATCAAATAGAACTCTAGGGTCCGAAGGCGGACTCAAGGCGAAGTTCATGCGCTAATAAGGTAGGGATCGCGGGAACGTTTCTAGAAAGCTTGATCCTGATTTAAAAGGTTTGGCTTTAGTTTTTGATGAAAAGGTTATGTCAACTTTGTATGAGCATTTCTCAATTCAAGAAAATTGACTCTATTCTCATAACAACATCTCTAGTGATAATATATTTTCTATGTTTTGGATAGTATATTCTATATGCTTTTGACTCACTGTCATAGCCGACCAACATGCATGATACTGATTTACTCTTCATTTTCATACGTTATTCCTTTGGAATATGAACATGAGCTATGTTTTAAAATATTCTTACCGTGGAATATTTTGATGGCTGTTTTTCAATGATTTGTCTTTGTTGGATCCATGTTCACCAAAAGAGTTGTTGTATTAACAACTTCTATCCACAGGAATTTGGATAGCTGAGCTTCGAGTGCCATTGTTCAAGACTTCTTGATTATCGTTCGTTGTGCAACTTCATTCTGCTGAGGTGTATGAAATTGTGTCAGATTTTTTGTAATGTTTTTGACCTACAGGCGTGTTTCAAACTCCTTGGACATATACTCGATTCCTTTGTTGGATCTGAAAGTCTTGATCTTCTTATTTGTCTGTTTCTCCATCATTACTTTCAAGATTCAAAATTTTGAATATGTTTCATTCTTTGTCTTCATGAAATACAAAAACATCATTCTTGAATAATCTTCAATAAATGGTACAAAGTATCTAGACTTGCTTAGTGAAACACACAACAAAGATACCACTACTATTGTGTGAACTAGTATTAATTGTTCACTAGCTCTATTGACTGATTATCTAGTACATTTTTCTCTTGACTACTTACTAGCATGACATGTTGTGCAAACTTTATGAATATCATATACTTGAGGCATTTCTACTACATAATTCTTTCTAGAAAAGTGAGGTAATTCATAGAATTTAAGATGATCAAACCTACGATGCCATAAAATTGAGTTTTTTTTATGCTATTTATTACACCAACTAATGAGTTGAACATGTAGAGTCTGCTACATTGATCTCAATTACATGTAGCTATAAATTGCTTGTTAACCAAGTACTCCATGATCCATTAATCTATGAGCACATAAGATAGCATGGTCATTATATGCAAATTTACCTACTGAAATTAAATTGTTCCGCACAGACACTACGTAGAAAATATTGTCAAGCTTTATTTCATAAGTCTATGTTGAAATGTGAGCATTCCCATGTCCCTCAATTCTATATTGTTTTCCACTAGCTACCATCACGTTACCTCCTTTCTCAAGCTTCATTGAATATAATGCTTCCTTATTTTATTTCCTGTCACGTGGTTATGATGATGGGTCACATTTGCTAATGTCTAATCAAAATTGTTTACACCATCATTGTATTGTACTTTTTTAACGTCATGCATGATGAAGTTGATTAACTTGCATCGCTCTCCCGAAGATCCTGCTCCAAGCTTCCTCTATAAGTAGGTAAAAGTAAAATGTACTTCATTGCCACACATCCAACAAGAAATATTTTTAAATTCACAAACTTGATGGTATTGCTGGGGTGTGGAGGTCCGATCCTTGCTCCCATGTATTGACAATTACCGAATCGTCCTCCATTTCATTGAGAGCTTCTATCATACTCATGTCTCATTGGTGCACGTTGCCATTGCAAAGCTAGAGCTGCATCTTCATTTCCAAATCGTTGATTTCTCATCTCCTATCTATGTTCCTCAATGAAAAGTTTGTAGATAGTCTTTTCAACAGAAGAAAGTTCCTTCAAAGCACCAATGCTTTGAATAACTCCTTCGTGGTATCATGACATTTCATTTAGAACGATTAAAGCCATTGTATGGTTAGGTACAACCTCTCCCATTGACGATAGCTTGTTCTTTAACTCCCTTGCTTTCTGGATGTATTGTGTAATTGATAATCCCTCCATCATCTTGAGTGAATGTAGTTGCTGGGATGAGAAAA